AGTAGGGTAAAGTGTCTTGCCCAAGGACACAACGACCAGGACAGAGAGCCCAGGGATCGAACCCGCAACCTTCCGGGTACAGATACGCTTCCCAACCACCTGAGCCACGGTCGCCCGTTTAACCTGTCAAGGACAAAAAAAAGTAAAGATAATTCTGTATCGAGCTTTGTAATTATTGCTTTCCTATTTTTTTTTTAGTATGGAGAGACTGCTCAATGGCCTGATGATTAGCACTGTTGCCTCAAAGAAAGAAGACCCTGAGTTCAAATCAAAAAGTTCTGTGTGGAGTTTGCATGGTCTCCCTGTGTTTGCGTGGGTTTACTCTGGATACTCTGGCTTCCTCACACAGTCCAAAGACATGCTGTTTGTGGGGTTAGGTTGATTGGTGATTCTGAATTGCCTGTAAGTATGAATGGTTGCCTGTGTTGGCTGTGCAATAGACTGGTAGCCTATCCAGGGTGTGCATCACCTCTCACCCTGTAACACATGGGGTAGGCTCCAGCCTCCCCATGACCCTGACAAGGACAAGAGGATGTATGGATGGAGTGACAGCTATGTGAAATTTGTTATAAATCCAATAAATTGGAGAAAATAACGGTGTGCATAACACGTTTTATGTTATCTAGATTCTAGAAATGAACTTCCATGGGTTGGATCAGTGGTTCCCAAACTTTTTTTGTTAGGCCCCCCTTTCTTTTACATGAAAAATCTCCCCCCCGTTGTTGACGAGGAAACAGAGTTCGCTACGCCACGTCAAAGGTGTGTGCCTTTTTTCACGTCATGCTGTGCACCACGTTATTGTTTACATGAGATGAATTTCTGCAATGGCAGATAGAGACAAAATACTGTTAATCTTACTAACCTCAGGTTTTACACGGTTACATACACACACAGTTACTGTCCCTCCATTGAGAAAGGCAGAGGCGTCACGGTGTGATTATTTTACATGTAGTTGTTTTTTTCCCTGTGTAATAATATTCAACATTGCTATCAATACATTTAAAAAAATGCCTCATTGTGCAAAAGGGCTTCAAAAACATAAACAGCTGTGGGATACTGTTTGTCCCTGATTTAAACCGGGGGACAAATCGTGGCAGGATCAGCCTGATATTATTTGTATCCCACTGTAACTTTACTGTATACAGAGCTAACATCTCCCAAATGTCAGGAGTAGTTAGTCATTATAAGAAGTGTTTGTAAATTTAAAATCAAGAATGTGGGATACTGTGTGTCCATGATTTGGAGAGCCCAGCGTGTGTACCCATACAGGGGTAACTAATACTGTTCCAGAGAGACCTACCTCGCCAGTTGAAGCCAAAGGGAAGATATGCTTCACCATATTTCCTACTTTTTGTCTTGAAAGGAAAGGTTGGTTTGGAAACATATTCAGCGATGCTTCATCTCCTGCTTTGCGTTTGTGTGGGAGCGCTGTCAAAAACCTGTTCATTATGCTAGCAGTGTCCAACCGTTATTTTATTTATTTATTTATTTCATTTTCATACCCCCCCCCCCCCACACACACACACACACACACACTTTAGGAACCTCTGGGTTGGATGAACTTTGTAGTAAATAAGTTAATTCATCAGTTAATTGAGTGGTCCAAGTTGGTCCAACTTAAATACATTAAATGGAATAACAGAATTGCATAATGCTAAAATGAGGCATTTTAATCATTTGGCAATCCTTTCCATGATTGTTTTTTGTTTGAATGTTGAAATAAATAAATAGATTAACAAAAGTAAACAAAAGCTCATCCTCAGCAAATATGCCTCCATGGAGACATGGACACTGTGGGCAGCCGACTGTAGACCGCATATACTGGCATGAAATGTAGGGTATATTTGTCCACAGCGTACACAAACAGTATGCAAATGCTCTGGGTGTGGACTGCCCTACTGGAATTCCACTGCGCAGGGCCCCACTGTCTCACATGTTACGTCGATACCAAGGCCCACAGTTGGCTGCCCACCCGTGCTCCACAGTGAATACATGGTACATATAAAAGTGGACCCGACACACTGAAATGTTTTTATTACTGTGAAGCATTTATTGATGTGACCCACTCCTCCCCTGCAGCTGAGCCAAGGACCACACCTCCTCAGTACATTACTGCCACTAACTCGTATCAAACATGGAACATTGCTCCATATACCACTGAGAATGGTGGAGCTGTGTGGGGAGGCCAAACTTGCAATTATATCAAGCAGGACCCAAATAGGTGTGTCTATGTTTGCACACCTACTGTAATGGAAGCGCTGATGGGCCATGGACTAACCCACAGGCAGAACAAAGAGGATTTTCTGTGAGCAATCTGTATTATGGAAAATCAAATTGGTAAAACAGGAAGAGCTTTCTTTCTTTTGTTTTTCACTGTTTAACTCTTACTTTCACTTACACTTTTATAAGATTGTAGGAGATATATCAGCAAATCTGCTTCCTGCAGCAAAAAATACACCAAACAACTACAAACTCTTTATGAACTTGATAAGATAACCAGAAACAAAGGAACAGTCCTCACCAACAGGTTTCTTAATTGTTGCCGCAGTGTTTATGAAACTTAAGTGTTACTTAGGAGCAGGCTCAAAGTTCACACTGTAAGTGAAACTATCACTGATCATTTGTACTCATTTTTCTTTAACAGTCATTCAGTGAGTTGCAGAGAGAGCAGTCAACAGGTATGTTGTCTATTAAATTTAATGTTATTATTAATGTGACTTGTTGCTTCTGTCTAAAAAACTGTTAAAACTGTTGGAGTCAAACTGGGTTTGAAGAATATGGTCCAAGTGTAAGTTGTTCTAAAGCTTTTATGTGGGTGGAAAAGGTGAATCTATGAACTAGATTTTTCTGTACCTTTACAGCAGGTGACACTACTGTAATTGTAGAAGACAGTATAGATAGACTGATCTACACCATTTAAATCAGCTGTGATGGATCAAGGACACACCTAAAACCTGCAGGGACACTGGCCCTCATGGACTGGGATTGGGGACCCCTGATCTACACTCTGTGAAGCACTTCTACCCCCCCCCCAACAAGTTAGATGACAGACAAGAATTCTTCCCAGGAATTCATTTAGTCATAATTGTACAACTTATGTTACTGAAACACAAATCAGAATTGTCCAGTCAGCAGTGGTTTCCATTGTATTAATGTTTTCTGTCTGTTTTCAGAGCTGCAGGATGGCTCATCAGCAGGATGGACTGTTTCCTCAATCACTGCTCAAAGCCTTCAGTGTTCTGATCTTCATCATTCTCCTAAAGGATGTCTGTAATGGTAATTAATACATAAATTGTCACGGTCCTGGGTCGGTGACCCAGTGTTTTGAGTTTCTTGTGTCCAAGTTTTTGTATTATGATATTAGTTCTCTTTGTTGCCCCAGTTTATTCTTTAGTCTAGTGTCTTAGTTTGGCTTTCTTGTATTCTCTTTAGATTTCTGAGTATTTAGTTAGCCGCTCTCTGTGTTTCTTAGTTGCTGTCTCCCCTAGTCAAGTCTGCGTCTATGTTACATTTCCTGTTTTACTTTGAAGGTCTGTGTCCTACGTGAATGTATTGAGTTTCGCTTCCCTTGGGTCTCGTTATGTCCGATTTCTCCCAGCTGTGCTCCCTCTTCTGTGTCTCATTCCCCTCGTTATTTCCCAGGGTATTTAAGCCCTGTGTTTCTCTGTGTCAGTGTTGTAGTCTCCCTCATGCTGTGTGTTTCTTCCTGTGGCTTCCTGTGTGTGTTTTCTTAGCTTGTTCCCAGTTTAGGTTTTGTAGAATTTTGTGTTCAGCAATAAAAGCTGCCATTTTGAGTTCAATCCTGTTTCCAATGAGTTTGCGTTTGGGTCCAATTCCTGCCTGCACACAGCTGAAACATGACATAAATAAATGTTTGGTTTCTTTCATATTTCAAGCACACATTTTAATTATTTATATTTGTGCTCTTAATGTGCCTTTATTAAGAGCCATGTTTTAAGAAGTCAAAACAACACTGGCGGGATACAAAACGGTTTTATTTTTATGAACCAACACATTTCAGTTTCTGTCAGCAGAGGTATTTAAACAGGATAGCTATATAGTATTATATTTTAACAAACACTATACACTAACAGAAATGTTAATAGTTTTAGAATCAGAGAAGATGCTTGTTAGAGACATGGCCTTTAGGTTTAGTAATTTAAAAAAAATATTGTGAGATGATGCTAAAAAAATCCCTCCTTCTGGCGATTTCTTATTTAAGAATTATGATTATTTGTTTTCAGGTCAGCCTCAGTTGATTGGTCCATCTCAGGCACTGGTGGCAAGAGCTGGTGATGATGTAATTTTGCCATGTCATCTGGAACCTGCATACGATGTTTCTACAAAGACACTGGAGTGGACAAGATCTTCACTTGACCCTAGATTTGTCTACGTTTCACGTGCCAGTCAGGAAATCGAAAAACTAAAAGATCCTTCTTTCAAAGGAAGGACGTCAGTGTTTGTTGATGAACTCAAGTCTGGAAATATTTCACTGAAAATCTCCAAAGTGAAATTTGATGATACAGGGACATACAAATGCTTTATTCCAGAGATGGAAAAAGAAGCTTTCGTCGAGCTAGTTGTTGGTAAGTAGCTTCTAGTCTTGTATTGTGCAGTCTTGTCCCTGGTATCATTTAAGAGCTCTTTGTTCTTGCCCATGATGGAGAGGTCGGAATGGAATAAATTGATTCTGTAGACAAATTTTTTGTTCTGGATTTTTTTGTTCAATAGTCTCTCGCCATTAAGATTAAGCTAACATAAACATTTTAGACTCTTCATTTCTTTGTAAGTGACCAAATTTATGAATTCAGAACTCTATTAGCTTAACAGGTACACAAGTATATTTTTGCATCTTGTAATTTCATTAATGCCCCCTTGACTTTTAAATTTCATGTTTTCTTTTCTTCAGCATCCGATGCTGCCACCTCACCTGTCATCGGTTTATCAGGGACTGACAAAAACAGAGGAGGAGTGGTGTTACAGTGTGAGTCTGCAGGCTGGTATCCAGAGCCTGAGCTGCTGTGGTTGGACGGTGAGGGAAACCTCCTCTCTGCTGGACCTACAGAGACCCTCAGAGGTCCTGATGACCTCTATACTGTCAGCAGCAGAGTGACTGTGGAGAAGAGACACAGCAACAACATCACCTGCAGAGTCCAACAGAAGAAAATCAGCCAGAACAGAGAGACACACATACATGTTCCAGGTTCAACTTATATTATTGCATTTATGATAGAAACACTTTTTGAACATATGAAGTCCAGATTTCTAGTTTTTTTTTTTTTTTTTTAAACCATTTCAGAGGATTTCTTTGAGGTCCCATCCAGTTCTCCCTCTGTCATCATTGGTTTGGCTGTTAGTTTGGCTCTTTGCATCATGCTGTTAATTTCATCAGCTGCTGTCCTTTTATGTAGAATGAAGAAACACAGTAAGTCACTGATACATTTTTCCTACCGCTACTATAAATCAGTGTTTTCATTTTCATTCCTTCTCATTTATTTTTAATTTCAAAAAGAGAACAACAGAAGCCCAGAGGATCACACTGATGTGGGAGGTGCTGACGTTCCTCTGAGTGGCTCTTCTCCCAAAACTAAGAATAAGACTTCATGCGTGAGTAGATAAACACAAACAAGTTAAATATAAAGATGTTCATTGTTTTTCAGAAATGAGATGAAATATTAATCCTAATTTCAAAATAAAACGATCTGAAATAATGCTTAACAGACATTATGTGCATTATGTGCATTATGAGCATTTACTAAGGTTGAGTAGAAAGAACTCTCTATTGATGTTAAAGGAATGAAGCAGAAACAATGTGATAACATCTGTGTGATGTCATTCATCATTATTAGATTACTGCTTCAGTAATGTCACAACAGTCTCTGTTTTGGTAAAAATGTTGCTACTGATGAAATTATTTTATATAATCAAGCTTTTCCTGGACTTCACGCATCACCAACAGAGACAGTAGGTGTGCTCATACATAAAAGAAACATATTGATTTAAAAATACAACCCAACAATGAAAAACAAGTTTTTCTACCTCATTGTTGTGTCTTATGTCATATGTGCAGATTTATTGATTGTAGCTTTAATCAGTGTTGCTCTCATGCTGTAATTCACATTACACTTTAAAGTAATGTGTTACATTATTTATTACCCGGAGTAAGTAATCCATTACACTATGTGTTATATTAGTTTTGTATTACTCCATAACAAACCCCAAAATGCACTTTCCCATAATCACCATTTAACAAGAAAAACCTTAGGAGGACAATCCCACACACTGACACAAATCTTCATCCTAATAACGGCACCAGAGGTGACAAAAGTAGAGATATTCTGTACTTAAGTAGATGTACAGAGACCTGTGTTAGAAAAAGCGCCATCTTCTGTCAATTTGGTACATGACGTCATGTGGTTGGTTGTTTGCGGCTGATAGACTTACATTGGTTTATGTTGTTAGCTGTTAGGTCTGCTCTTTGCAGCCCCGCTGGTTTAGAGACTTATTCCCGTGAACAAAGGAAGACAGAGCTCGATCCATTTAAACTTGCAAGGGAAGCTGATTGGACCAGGGTCTTGGAGCTGCAAGCTCCTCACCTGATCCCTGACACTCCAAAGAGCCAGCCTCCCCTACAGCCTTTTATTAACTTTGTGGTCACACAAACATCTCATTAATCATGCAACAGATAAAACACTCACATGTGAACATGTGTCATATGCATCTGCAACAGACAACATCTGATGTGTGTGTCTCTATGAGCATGTCTTTTGATCAGTGATATGTGTGTGTGTGTGTGTAGGAAGCAGAAGTCTGCATTCATCACTCTGCTAAAGATCTAATGATCTTACACAATGACAATCATATTGATCCACAATTCTCTAACAAGTGAGAGAATTGAGAACTGAGAGGAAAATAACTACAGTAAAACTAAAAATCAGTTTATGTGACTACATTTGTGCTGTTTGTTTTTTTTGTCTAGCTGCACTCAAACGTTTGGGTTTTTAAAGCACTTTACAAATGAGCACTGTGTGGAGGAGAGCAACTCTGAGTCACATGACCAACACAAACTGATTTTTCCTCCTCTGGCCGAGTGTACCAAGCTGTGCAACCAGCTGCTGCCATCAGCGCTGTTTTACAACATAACGGCCACTACATGCACATCACAGCACAAATATAACTAAGTTTCTTACTGAAGCACGATCGGGAATCGAGAATCCCATCAAAGTAGGTCAATGTGTTGCAAGGAAAAAGCAGATGCTCAGATGAAGAGATGCCACACTAGGGATCCACTTTAACCTCTGACTTTGGCACATGTCATCTCTTTTTATGCGACATCTCCTGGCTCAAATCAGTTTGATATTTGAAGGCTCACAGTGATGTAAAATAATGACTCCTCAGCAGTGCGTAAAAACAAAAGTAACAAGCCTGTTCTGAAAATATAATTAGTCAAAAGTACAGATATTTATTTAAAAATGTGAGTACAAGTAAAAGGATCTCAGAAAAATACTCAAGTAAAGATACTGAAAAATTCTACTGAAGTACAGTAACAAAGTATTTGTACTTTGTTTGTCTGCCATCTCTTAGTGGCCAATAACTTGGACGTCGGAACTTCAGGAGGAACAACAGAGGAGGGAGGAAGCTGAAAAGAATCTGCAGGACATTAACAAAGAGGTTTGTATTTGTTATTTGGTATATATTTGTCATGTGTGTGAGTGTGTCCCCATTAAATGAATCTTTATCTCTGTATTGTAATTATGAAGGAGATTATTTTGTTTATTTTGTAACAAATGTCTAAAAAAGTAACTGTTTCTATATATTAAACAAACTTATAATCCACGTTGAAATTCAAAGAAAGGACTGGCTTGCAGAAATGTGTCAGAATTAAATGGAATCGCCAGTTTATTGTCATTCGGAACAGTTAGTGCACATCAGAATGAAATTCCAGTGCATTTACTCATCATCAAATATAAAAATAAATAAATAAAATGAATGTCAAAAGGTATAAAATGCAAGAAAGATCCATGTGAGAATAAAAAATATGAAATATTTTAGTTTATTAGTAAGGAAATTAATAAGGAAAAGCTGCGCAGGATCTTAAATATATTGAACAGCAACAAAAGCAGCAGAAAAGTGTACAATCATCGTTCAGCCATGAACTGACACTGCTGTAAATATACAGTCATGGGGGACAGAGGGGAGGGGGAGGCAGTCAGGGTGGGTGGTTGGTGTGCTGATGGTTGGAGAATGAAACTATTGTAACATCTGGCTGTCCTGGTCCTGATGCTGCTAAACCTCTTTCCAGAGGGCAGCAGGGAGCACAGTGCATGGTGGGGGTGGGCGGAGTCTCTGATGACGTTATGGACTCTGCTGAGACAACATCTGTGCTCGACTTCCTGGATGGATGGAAGAGAAGTCCTGGTGATCTTCTCTTCAGTAATTTCCTCTCTGAGGCCCTGAAGCTGTCAAACCAGATGCAGACACAGCTGCTCAGCACACTTTGATGCTGCCTCAGTAGAAAGTGGAGATGCTGGAGGAGAAAGTTGTGCTCTCCTCATCCAAAATGCAAAGCGCAGACACTGCTGAGACTGTTCAACCAGTGCTGTTTAATGACTAGTCCAGACTGTCAGTTATCTAAGGCCTACACTGAAACATTGCATGGTGGTTAACACCATTTCCAAGAAGCAAGCAGGTCTTGGGTTCAAATCCCCCATCTTGACTGGATTTGCGTGTTCTCCCCGTGTCTGCAGGGATTCCCACCACAGTCCAAAGACATGTTAGTGGCGTTAGGTTAACAGATGATTCTAAATTGCCCATAGATGTGATGGTTGTCTGTCTCTGTCTTTATTGAGGAGTAATAGGTCAGGGCTTCTTTTAGGTTCAGCAGCTAACAAGAGGGTGTGTCGGTCAGAACACAGGAAAGAGGACGAGAGGCTTCCACTTTGCTGAACTGTCACAGTCAGCTGGTTTATTGTCACCTCAAAGCTCAATGTTGCCAATAGTCTGTAGTAAATAATAAGTTACTGTTAGACCAAATATATTACAGCAACAGTGGTTCAACTAATATAAACTCAAAATATAAAGTAAGATAAAGTTACACATCCATCTATGCATATAATGTCCATGACATAATATATAAAAACTCAAGTTATGTAAATATTACATTACTTGGTTCAAACATACAGAGAACTCAGATTAAACACAGTGGTGATGTCATACTACAAACAGAGACATTCACCAGCTATAACCATCATTAAAGGCGCCATCGTGTGGCTGAATGAAATTACTACACTATGGCAGCAGTTGGTGGCACAAGCCTTTAATCACCACGTGAAATTGCGCCGCTATGACTCGGTAGGAAGTAATTCAAGCCGCGGCAAAACTTGAGTTTGCAACTAAACATATTAAAGGTAACTTACGTTCAGACATTAACTTAACACTCGGAGCATCACCGTGAAGGATTGCAAACAGGAACACAGCTGACACGATGAGGTGATAACAAAAAACTGACCCGGAAGTACTTTCTCTCCCTCTGGAGCAGCAGCGCAGCACATCAAACTTATGCATATGTCATTTCCTATAACCTCACTCGTAACAATATTTTAGGAACATAAAATCTCAGAGCCTTTCATACAGTGTTAGCCCTGCGATAGACTGGTGACCTCTCCAGGGTCTGAATTTATTTACAAATACTTGTTCATGTATTAGTTTTTATATATCATTCTGTTATATTTACTTAATACAGCTTTTATTTACAGCTTTAATGTGACTCTGGTTGTGTTATCATTATTGTCTGTTAAACATGAACATGAACAAGCTTTAATTTCACTCCGGATGTTTTTTCATTATTGTGTCTGAAACATGAACATTTCTTCCTTCTGCTCTTTCTTCATGTAACATTTCACATGAATACTGAAATCATCAATCAGCTCCAGCAGGAGAAAGAAAGAGCAGAGGACCTGAAGACGAAGCTGGAGGACAAAAATCGTGAGGTTTGTGTTTCCATTATAAACATTCAGAATTTACTGACCCAGCTCTGTTTATCTCTGTATAGTAAAGAGTTATGAAGGAAACTTTAGATATTATTTTGTTTATTTCACAACAAATGTCTATTATATTAAAGATCAAATTGCACTAAGTGGAAGTGAGATTTAAAGCTTCTTTTTATTGTTAAGTTTGATGTGATTAACTGTGTGTGAAGAGACAAAGACAATAGTGAGAATATTGCACATGTTCATTTCATTAAAGATACAGGATCCTTTAAAAGCTGTGGCTATGTTTAACTTCATCATTATTCTACAAACCTTAAACTGACAGTAACAATAAATGTGCTGATTTTAGAGAATTCGAGTCTGCTATTATTTTTGTTTATTTGTTTGGTGGTTCCAGGTCATAAGCTGGAGCAGAGTAGTGCAAACCTTCAGTAACTGCATTCAAATAAAATGCTGAAGAAATAACATTTTTTGCTCATGTTTGATGTTGAGCTACGTGCTATTGAATTAAATTCTAAAGGCTGTCCTCGTACGTATCATTAACTCTGAGACTGTGGCTGACTTCATTACCGCCTTTTTAAACTCCGCCTTTTTTTGATCCAGATTGTACAGATACTAACTGTTTCACACCTCCTTTGGTTGATGATTTTTCCAACGCTATGTTATCTGTTATCCACCTGTTGTTCCATCTTGGATACTGTGGCCCCTATAAAGATGAAATGTCCCAGAACTTCTCATCAACCATGCTAAATGACACTATACGAGCCTCATGTCGTGTCTGCCGTCAATCTGAAAGGAGGTGGAAAAAAGACGGGCTTCAGATATCCTATGACATTCTTTGTAGGAATACCAGAACTCTGTAAAGGCAGCTAAAGCAGCTTTCCTATCAGATATTATTGAGACTAATAGCCACAACCCTCGAATGTTATTCAAAATTTTTAATTCAGTGATAAATCCCTGTCCGGACTCTTTGAGCTCGGCCTCCCAGGCTCTCTGTGAGCAATTTCTTAATCATTTTACTGGAAAAGTTTTATTACTGAAGGCTTCACACTCTCACTCACTTGTGTTGAGTCCTGTTCCGGTTTTAGGATGCTTGTCCACCTTTTCTCACTTTGAGCTGCTATCACTCCCCACTCTTAAGGAAATAATTGAAAAATTAAGAAACTGAAATTCTGTGCATGATATCCTTCCTTCCCGTTTTATCAAGGAAGGTTTTGAGGAAACTGGGTCTTACATCTTTTAATGAATTTATCATTGTTTGTGGGCTGTGTCCCGACTGCTTTTAAACATGCGGTAGTGCACCCTATTCTGAAAAAAAAAAGTAATATCGATCAGAAAGACCCTGCAAATTATAGGCCAATCTCTTCCGTATTTATCAAAAATTTTGGAGAAAGCCGTCTTTCTCCAAATACATGCTTACTTAGTTGCAAATAATATTACTGACAAATACCAGTCTGGCTTTAAGCCACACCATAGCACTGAAACGGCCCTGCTAAGAGTCTATAATGATCTTCTTGTATTTGCTGACTCTGGTCGCCCTGCCGTTTTAGTTTTATTGGATCTGTCCTCAGCCTTTGACATGGTTGATATATATAATATACTCTTGAGGAGGCTAGAGCATGTTGTAGGCATCAAGGGTTCTGCCCTTAACTGGTTTAATTCTTACCTCACAGATAGATCCTTCTCTGTTGTGATGGGAGGATACTCTTCCTCTGTTGCCCCTCTCTGCTGTGGTGTGCCCCAGGGGTCTGTATTGGGCCCTTTATTGTTCTCTTTGTATATGCTACCCTTGGGCTTCATATTTGGAAAATGCAATGTTTCTTATCACTTTTACGCTGATGACATTCAAACCTATTGTCAACTGACTGATGATTTGTCAGCATCACTGCACTCCCTGTGCGATTGCCTGAGAGAGGTTAAAGATTGGCTGTCAGATAATTCCCTCATTTTAAATGAGAAAAAAACTGAAGTTATGGTGTTCGACAGCCATATTCTTCGAGACCAGCTTGTTGCCCTGCTGGGGCCCCTAGCTAACTCTCTCTCTGATTCTATGCGTAACCCGGGTGTCTATTTGGATAGCTCCTTAAAGCTCGATAAGCAAGTATCATCTGTAGTTAAATCTGTTTTTTTTTTTTTCTTCAATTGCGGCAGATTTCTAAAGCTAAGCTATATACCACACAGGGACCTGGAAAAACTTATCCACGCTTTTGTGACCTCCAGGTTAGATTATTGTAATTCTCTCTACTGTGGTCTCCAAGCCTTCTCTCTTCGAAGGCTGCAACTCGTTCAGAATGCTGCGGCTCGCCGAAATTTGATCCTATTACTCCAGCTGTTGTTGATCTACACTGGTTACCTATCAAATATTGCATTGAGTTTAAAATCTTGCTACTCACTTTTAAAATCCTGAATAACATTGCACCCAGCTACCTTACTGACCTCCTCAATCTGTACACTCATTGCCGTGCATTAAGATCATCAGATCAATTACTCCTGGCCCAACCTAAGTTTAGACTGAAGACCAGAGGCGATCGTGCCTTTGCTTCAGCTGCACCCAACCTTTGGAATAGCCTCCCTGCTTCTATTCGAGCCTTGGACTGTATCCAATCCTTTAAATCAAGTTTGAAAGCATATCTATTTGACTTGGCTTTCCTGACCACTTAATACCCTTTTAAACTTTTATTAAATGTATTATTTTGTTACTAATTTTACTGCGGTTTTTGTCTTCTTAGTGGATTTTTTTATTCGAGATCTGACCTTCCCTCTTCATTGAGGTTGATGCCTATTTTATTTAACTCTGGTCTATTAGTGCCTCTATTCTGTTTGTGCTAGTGCCTGATCTGTACCCTGTCATTGACTTATGTTGATTCTCCATATTAATGTGAAGCACTGTGGTGTGCCTTCGGGTTTTTAAATGTGCTATATAAATAAAACTGTATTGTATTGTGACTTTAATTTTCATGTGTAATCATTGTATCATCCATCAAGTCTCTTCCGCTTATCCTTCCCAGGGTCACAGGGGGCGCTGGAGCCTATCCCAGCTGTCATAGGACGAGAGGCGGGGTACACCCTGGACAGGTCGCCAGTCTGTCGCAAGGCCAACACATAGACACAGACAACCATTCACACTCACCTATGGGCAGTTTACTAATTAACCTGGGAGGAAGCCAGAGTACCTGGAGAGAAAACCCACACAAACACGGGGAGAACATGCAAACTCCACACAGAAAGACCCCGGCCTGTTGGTGGAATTGAACTGAGGACCTTCTTGGTGTGAGGCAACAGTGCTAACCACCATGATTGCGTGGGTTCTCTCTGGGTACTCTGGCTTCCTCCGCCAGTGTGGGTGCCAATGGTTGTCTGTGTCTATGCGTTAGCCCTGCGCAGACTGGCAGCCTATCCAGGGTGTACCCTGCCTCTTGCCTAGCTAGGATAGGCTCCAGCTCCCCTCAACTCTGGGAAGGATAAGCGGTAGAGAATGGATGGATAGCTTTCTTGTGTTTGTGACTATATTTAAAATAATTTACTTTATTTATATTTTACTCTGTACAGTCTGTATTAGGGCTGGGCAAAACGATTATTTTCCTAATCGATGAATCTAACGATTAATTTTTCAATCCGATTCTATTTTGATTTGCTTCGATTATCGATTATTTCCCCATTATTTGACTTGTACAGCAATTTCACATTTGCTAATTTATGTATCTCAATGAAAAACACAAATTTCATTATTTGAACACCTTTTAATAAAAACATTGCAAAATGAAGTTGTAGTAGTAGTACAATCTTATATTAGAGATAGCATTTAACAAGAAATGAAATGTGAAAACATATATAAAATTAAGGAAAAGCATTGGTGTCTTTAAACAAAATGTAACATTCACTTTGCTTTCTGCAAAAAAGTGCTCTTCATTCACAAAACAAAATCCATTTTGTTGCCATTTCTCACGTTTCTCTGTGTGTGTGAGTTCAATCATCAATCATGTTAATTACATGAAGTAGTTATGGATTGGAGATTTAATAAAAACAAAATCCACAATAAAATTGTAGTACAGTTTTGTTTTTAACAAAAAAATTAAATGTTGTGCAAAACAAATATGAAAAAAGGAAATCATAGCAAAAAATGAATAAAATATAAACAGCAGCAATGGCGTCTTTGAACAAATAACACTTAACATTCACTTTGCTCTCTGCAAAAAAAGTGCTCTTTGTTAACAAAATATCCATTTTGCTGCCTTCTCTCCTATTTCTGTGTGTGTTCAATCACGTTCATCACATGAAGTAGTTATGCATTGGTGTGGAGGAATGTTAGCATTTCTACATGCTCAGCAGTCAGGCTTGCCCTGTTTTTGGTGACAATGTTTCCAGCAACTGAAAAAAGCCTTTCAGATGGTGTTGATGTGGTAGGTACAGCCAGCAAACGACTGAATCACTTCCTTTTCTGTTAAAATATCCCCATACTGTAGAACTGCGTGTTCGGGTGGAGTGATTTAAGTCGACTGCGGCTGCCTCACTCATGTTGCTGCTACTCGCTGCGCCATGTCTGTTTTGAAAGTGACGACACATCAACGCACATCTTTTTTTACAGCGACATGTTTTACGTGTCGAAATAATCGATTACGTCGACGCGTTGTACCAGCCCTAGTCTGTATCAATAAAAAACACACCAATCAGACTGTGTAAGGGGACACAATTGTTGGAAACATGTTGCTCACAGTGTGAAGCTTCAGTAATTTTGGCACTTTTATCAACAAAGTGCTGCAGAAACATCAACATCTGTCTGTCTTTCTTTCTGACAGATGATCAACTCTAAGTTAGAGAAGGCTGACTTCATTCAGAAGTGGATGCAGACATTTCTTACACTGGAATCAGAGGTCAGTGAAAGCATCTCTCAGCACACAGAGGTAAACATGGACATATGTGATGCTGTCATCCTCCCAATGATCACAGACCTGTGCACTTATATTCCTGCAGTTTTGTCCAGCAGCAGTTTCTGTGTCATTAACCAAACACAACTTTGAAATCCTACCACTGCAAGATTGTTGACATCTTGACATACAGCTTTCATGTGACTCTGGTTTTGTTTCATTATTGTGTCTGAAGCATGAACTTTTTTTCTTCTGCTCTTTCTTCGTGTAACATTTCAGCTGCAGTTAGAGAAGAATACTGATGTCATCGATCAGCTCAAGCAGGTGAAAGAAGCATCAGAGGACCTGAAGAATCAGCTGGAGAACAAAAATCCAGAGGTTTGTCTTTCAGTTATAAACATTGTGAATTTGCTGATTCAACTCTCTTTGTGAAAAGTATAATTGTAAACATCAGTATTTACTCACCATCAGACTCAACTGTATAAATAAACTAATCTAAATCTAAATGTCTAAAATATGAGAAAAAGAATTTATGATATACAAACTGTGGATCTCAGTAAATGAACACTGTCATCTTCCTTTTACCGAGATTTTGTGGATGTGGCAAAACAGGATGACACACTGTAAAAAATGCTCCACAGCAAAGAAGAAAAAAGTCTGCCCTAAAATCAATGTGTCATCAAATTTGATATGTAGGAGTCTGAAAGGGCTGAATATTTATATGTTCTTATGTTAATTTCATCTTCTAAACTGACAGCATTTTGTGCTTTTGAAATTTGAGCTTCTATATTAAATATTGATGTTATCACACACCTGATCAAATAGCAGTAAGTGAAGTGAGATTTAAAGCTTCTGTTTATTGTTGCATTTGATGTGATTAACTGTGTGTGAAGAGACAAAGACAAGAGTGAGAATATTGCTCAGGTTCATTTCATTAAAGATACAGGATCCTTGTTAAAGCTGTGATTTTGTTTAAGTTCATTATTATTCTACAAACCTTAAACAGACAGTAACACAAATAAATGTGCTTTCAGACTTTAGAGTATATGAGACTTGTGTGGTTGAAGGTCATAAGCTGGAACAGAGTAGCAGCAACCAGCAGTAGTCGTTTTTCAATAAAATGTCTATGAAATGAAGTGATTTTAGTTTTGTGTGTTTAAACATGTTGCTCACACTGTGGAGCTTCAACAATTTTGTCACTTTATCAACAAAGTGCTGAAACATCAACATCTGTCTTTCTTTCTGACAGATGTCCAAATCTGAGACGGAGCTGGATGAAATCATTCAGAGGCTGACGCAAACATTTCCTACACTGGAATCAAAGGTCAGTGAAAGCATCACTCAGAAGAATGGTGGTGGGGGGGAATAAAGTGGAGATGATGGCGAAAGATTTCGAGAGGGTTTTCAAAATGCTGCGTTTTTCCTTGGGGACAACGCCGTCTCAGTGTGGATGGGAGGCCGAAACGGAGAGAAAAAGATGCTTTTTCAAACGAAAAAGCATCAGTGTGGACGTAGCCTGAGTGAGTTCTGTCAGTGAGGAAGACCAGCAGCCCGATACACATGGGGGTGCTGATACCTGGGGAAGGTGTCAGTTTTCTCACCAGTTCCTCGGGCATGATCCACCAACAAACAGCACTTCTACGTGACTGTGTCCTCCAGATGTGTAAAGCTCAGGTGAAGAGCAGAGAGAGCAGAGGACATCGCGCTGTGGAGCCGTTTGGCCAGTACGAAGACTGACGTGGAAGGGACTCTACCAAAACTTCATTATTAAGGGAGTTAATGCAAAGGGCAGGTGGCATTAAAACATGTGATGGAGACAGATTTGAAACATGATGGAACAACAGTCTGCCACAGCGAGGTGTTAAAGATGTCTGTAAGGACGTGTGAAGGCTCGTTAGCACCAGTGTTGATCACGTTACTTGAAAAAAGTAATTGGTTACTAATTTCTGATTACTTCTCCAAAAAAGTAAACTTGTTACATTACTTGTTACTTGAAAATGTAATCGGATTACGCGTTATTGCCCATCTGTGCTCAGCACACTCTCTGAGTACTCGTCCTTGAATGTTGTCCTGCTGCCTTTCATACACTCACTCTCCTCAGAGTTTTACAGACATCAGTCACTCTGAGATTCAATGTTTTCTCATCAGGGTGAAGACTGTCTGTTATTGCAGGGTGTTGTTGTTGGTTGAAAATGTACAGAGAGATTTGTTGACCTTATTGAAACAGTGTGTGTTGTTGTCACACATACTTGCTTCAATTATATGAAAACTCTTAATTTAAGACAAAGCTCAAATAATTTACTTATAATGAAATTCAAATACAGTTTTTTCTTCAGGTTCTCCATTCTAAAATTTATATCATATCAAGCTCTTAATTCAATATAGTAACTGATTTATTGACTCTGTGTAATCGCCCAAATGCTATAACAAAAACATAAAAACATATCTTTGTCTTCTATGTTTTTGTTTCTTTTTAATTGCAGCTTTGTGAAACTATCAGTCAAGTCCAGGGAGATAAAGAGAAGATGGAGAGACTGAACAAGGTGCTCGACTCCACAAAACAACAGGTTCATTTTTTTTTTATACACTAACTTCCTGCATTTACATGACTGCCATGTTTAATCAGGTCTCTTTCTCTGTTGATTGAAACACTCGAAACATTAAGAAAATCAGATTTTATATAATTAATTGAAAATAAGCAGAGCTGTACTGATTGAAAGTTTCTAGGCTGATTCATCTGCTGTTTGTAATGATACTGTGATTATTTGCAACAATCATTGTTATTTTCTATTCTCCGTGCTTGAAAGTGTTTATTTCATTTATTTCCCAGGCGGTGCCTCATAGATTTGAAACATGAACTCAGAAATTTGTCCACAAATTTCATCATAGTTGCTGTAGGACTAAATTTAACTGCAGAATGACAGAAGAATGTTGCAACCTTGTTCTTTATTAATTTTTTATTTAGGAACATGTTGATCTCCAATTATATGTCACTGAGCAGACATGATGCTTAAACTTGATGCACATCTGTGACCGATTTTCTAACTTTGGATCGACCCATTGATTGATTGCCTGCTACCAGGTCATCTGTGCAACTGCCTTGTATTAAACCCGATTCTTTGATCCCCATGATAGAACAGAGAAAATCCGACTCAGAGTGGTCAAAACATTTCTAATTCTTTATTCGATCATCTTCCGGAAGAGAGAGCCCTTCACAGCCCAAAGCCAGTTGTAGAAACTCTAACATTAGAAGTTAAAAATGTGTCTCATATAGGTGTTATTTTGGTACCTTACACATCACACACAGCCTCGATACAAACAACTCCTTATATGTTACTAGTTCCTCTTTTTTCTGTCTGGTTTCCTGTTTTTATTTATATGCTTGTACAGCTCTACACTAACTTCCTGTTTTTCAGTGTGGCTGAGCACTTAGTTTGTGAGTCAAAAGTGGCCTTGGTTTTCAAGCCTTTATTATTAAAATACATAAAACAATATACTCAGAAAATAAGCACTAAGAATATATGTTTATTGCATAACACTTGCAATCAAACGTTGTTGCCTAGATATTGTATAATCATGGAGTATATACAGGGAGTGCAGAATTATTAGGCAAGTTGTATTTTTGAGGAATAATTGTATTATTGAACAACAACCATGTTCTCAATGAACCCAAAAAACTCATTAATATCAAAGCTGAATGTTTTTGGAAGTAGTTTTTAGTTTGTTTTTA